GGGAAGGATGGATGGAAGGATGGCTGTGTGACTCGGTGGCTGGATGTCCCTGGCTCAGTGCCAGCCCCTTACCCGTGTCCTGCCGGAACTGGTGCATGGACTGGAGGTCGATGACGTAGGGGGCCAGCTGGACATCGACCTGGCCCAGCACCACGGACCCGCGGGCGTCCTCCTTCAGCACGTTCTCGATGTGGTGGCACACGGCGGCCGAATAGGGCCGCCAGCGCCCGTGCTCGTTCAGCCACTCCCACACCACCACGCGGGCCAGGTTCTGCGGGGGGAAGCCCAGGCCCGCCGAGGGCAGCATGGCCCCCGAGCCCTGCCGGGCCATGCCGGGGGCACGCCGGCTCAGTGCGGGGGCCGGGGGGTCACCCGGAGCCCCTCCGAGCCCCGCTGCGGGGCTCAGTGGAGCAGGCGCCGCGCGGCTCTGCAGAGGCGGGTGCTGCCAGCCAGGTCCCCGAGGTCCCCGAGCCGCCCGGTCCCGCTCCCCCGGGGCTGCCGCGCGGGGCCGGGGCCATCCATCACCCGGCTTGTCTTCCTCGGCTCTTCCTCCTCCCCGCGGCGCTGGCAGGGCTCAGGCTCTGAAAAGCCACCAGGACCTCACGGACTGCGTCGGCCCAAGGGTGGTGGGGGCCGCGGACGGTGCTGGGGACACGCGGCCACGGTGCTGTCCCCGAGACAAGACACCCACTCCTCCTCTTCCTCCTCGCGTCCTGCTGCTCGGCCCACGTCCTCGGTGACTCCACGGCTGCTCCCGCCGCCCGGCGAAGGAGGGGGGGGTCACCTGCAAAACAGGGCCACAGGCGGGTCACCCCGGGTACCGTCAACCGGGTGGCAGCTGGGGGACCGTCCCCATCGCCCCGCGGAGCCGGCGGGCAGCGAGGCCGCGGTGCCCGCAAGCCCTGGCAGCACGGGCTGCTTGCCAGCCTCGGCCGGCTGCTGGCCTCCAGCACCACAGCGGGGACAAGGGGGACGCGGGGGGACAGGCCACCCCGCTGGCGGCCCTAGGGGGCTGCCAGGGGTCTCACGAGCTCGGGAAGCCCCCATCGCTCCCTGCTCCGGGTGCCGGGGAGCCCGCGGGGCCCGGCTCCCGCTCCAGCCGCCGCTGATTTATGATCTGCACTGCAGGCATCGGGCTGGGGGTGATCCCGGCCCCCCGCTCCCTCCCAGCCCCACGCCCACCCACGGCAGCCCCCAGCCCCGCGGGGGCGGGCGGGGGGCCCGGGGAAGGGGAGCGTCGCTGCACAAACAGCCGTCAGGCAGACGGACGGACACGGCCGAGCACACACAGACACACTGACACGGAGAGACACGGGCACACGCGCTGGCACACGCACAACCGGGGACACGGACAGACAGCGGGACGAGGCAGGCGGACGGACAGACACGAGGACCCGCGGCAGCACAACAGCCCCCCCGTGGGCACACACACACGCGCACCCGGCCGCACGCCCCGACACGGGTGTGCTCACACGCACCCGCACACGCGTGTGCTCCTCACCCAGCGCCCGCCGTGACCCCGAGCACCGGGGAGCTGGGGGGACCCTCAGCCCAACCCTGGCCCCCCCTGCGGCCGGGCTGTGGGGGTGAGCCTCCACGCCAGTAGCCCCCACAACCGGGGCCCGGCTGCTTTTCGGGGAGGGGGGGGTGAAACGCCAGGCCTGTCCCCCGCGCACGGTGTGTGCCCCCCGCCGCTGCACGGCAGCCCCCCCCCTGCGCGGTTCCCCCTCCCGGTGCACGGTCCCCCACGATGCCCGGCAGCCCCCAGACCGCCGGTGCTCGGTCCCCGCGGTGCGCGGTATCCCCGAGACACGACCGACACCCCTCCCCCGGTGCCTGTTGTGTCTCCCCTCCCCGGCTCACTGTTCCCGCCGATTCACAGCATCCCCCACCGCTCCGGTGCGCGGCACCCCCGAGGCGCGGCAGCCTCCCGGTGCCCGGCTCCCCCCCGAGCCCCCTGCCCGGTTCGCCGCGATCCGCAGCATCCCCCAGCCTGCCGTGCCCGGTCCCGCCGCCCCCCGAGGAGCCCTCCCCTCCCCGCCATGGCCGCCGCCGCCCCGCACCGCGGCCCCGAGCCCGTTACCTCCGGCGGCCGCAGCCGCACCGGGACCCGCAGCCGCACCGGGAGCGGCGGCGGCGGCGGTGGGAGCGGGGCCGGGCGGTGGCAGCGCTCCGCCAGCGCCAGGCACACACCGACACCGGCACCGGCGGCGCGCACGGCCGCGGGCACCCGCCGCGCCGGCCCCGCGCCCGCGCCGGGAACGCGCAAGCGGGAGCGGGGACACGCGCGGGGGGGAACCGGGGCGTCTGCACCGGGATGGGGGACACGCAGGGGGGACACAGGGGATCGGGGAATACGCACCGGGAACCGGGTTGGGGGGTCGTGCACGGGGGATCGGGCATCTGCACCGGGATCGGGAATACGCACGGGAAACCGGGGTGGGGGACATGCACGGGGGATCGGGCATCTCCACCGGGATGGGGGACACGCATGAGGGACGGGGAATCTGCATCGGGATGAGGGACTCGCACCGAGGACCGGGCGTCTGCACCGGGAACCCGCGCCAGGACTGGGGACACGCACCGGGGACCTGAAACACGCACCGGGGTCACCCACTGGGATCGGGCATTTCATCCGGGGACACACAGGGGACGGGGTGTCCACACTGGGGACACA